ATAGATAGATAGATAGATAGATAGATAGATAGATAGATAGATAGATAGATAGGGTGAGTGGGTGAGTCTGTGTGTGTGTGTATCTTCAAGGCAGCCTTGATTCCTGGCGACTGCCTGGACAGTCCCTGAAAGTTTTTGGAAGTGGTTTGCCATTGCCTCCTTCCTAGGGCTGAGAGAGAGGGACTGGCCCAAGGTCACCCAGCTGGCTTCGTGCCCAAGGCAGGACTAGAACTCGCAATCTTCCCGTTTCTAGGCTGGTGCCTGCAACCCTTATACCAAGCTGGTTCTCAGTGTATCAATGCCTTAATTTAAATAAAAAAGATTTGTGCACAATCCATCGTTAGGCAAGAGTGTTAATTCTGAGCCCCATTTCTTTGACTGGTTGAGGCCCTCTTCTCATGCCAAATCTTTGTTTAGGTCTTGCATGGTGGAAGAATCGGGAACTCTGGAATCACAGCTGGAAGCAACTAAGGTATGCATTTTCCCCCACCCCGCCTCCCCCAGGGATGAAACCAAATATTGGGGAAGATTCATGTCAAGGTTGAGATTGTTTCAAGCAAGAGTGACAGGGGAGATCACCTGGAATTTGCTTCCTAATTTTGTTCCAAGGGATTCAGTGAGTTCCAAAGCGTTTGGTGTGCCCTGAGGAAAAGCTAAACGTATTTTTTCCCCACAGAGCAGGTGTTGGGTATATGAAGTTTCTTTTAAGTTTGGTTCAGATTCGTTTTTTGCAGTTTGTAGGCAGGAGTGGCTCGCAGCTGTCGGGGATGATAGGATGTTCCCTTCGGCTGCAGTCAGGCCTTTGCACCCGTTCCCATTTGGGGGCGCCTTGCTGGGCGCACGGGCTCATGGATGGCTCTGCCTCTTCCCTGTAGCGCAAGCACCAGGAGATCCGGGCCATGAGGAGCCAGCTGAAGAAGATCGAGGACCTGGGAGCCGCCATGGAGGAAGCGTTGATCCTGGACAACAAGTACACGGAGCATAGCACGGTGGGGCTGGCGCAGCAGTGGGACCAGCTCGACCAGCTCGGCATGAGAATGCAGCACAACCTGGAGCAGCAGATACAGGCCAGGTGGGGCAGACACCCTGAGATGGGGGCAAGGCGGTGCAGGGGGGGGCAGCTGCAGGTATCTGTCAAGCTTTCTTAAGTTTCTGACAGTTCCTTAGATATTCTAACTCCATTCCAGGTTCCTGGCAAAACAAGACTTAAATCTGCAACGTGTGTGCCCTTTTCTTCTTCTTCTTGAGAATGCATCATAATTTTGTGTTTTGTTCCTTTACTATTTAATTTAAAAAGGGGAAAAAGTGTGTGCCCATAGAGGAAAAACATCTCTTAGGTTTTCCTCCAGCAAACTAAAAAACGGTTTTCAAACCGCAGCGATGATATTCATGCAACTTGCTAAGCCGAAGAGTCAGAAACTCTTCCCGGGGGGCCGCTTTGGGAGTGAGGAGCATCCCCGTGAGGCGTTTCTGATGCCCACCTGGCAGATGAGAAGTTGGAGGGAAACTCTCTTTGTGCTGTTTTAGTGCCAACGTCACACTAAACACAAACCTGTTCGTTTTTTCAGAAACACCACTGGAGTCACCGAAGAAGCTCTCAAAGAATTCAGCATGATGTTTAAGTGAGTTGCAGGGGTGCTGGGGTGGCCGTTCTGGCCGACCAACATTCTTCTGGGTGCCAAACTCCTCTGTCCTATTTTAAGCTGGAGTTTAAACATAATGAGCTCCTTTGCATTCGTTCTAGGCACTTCGACAAGGATAAATCTGGCCGCCTGAACCACCAAGAATTTAAATCCTGCCTGCGCTCCCTTGGTTACGATTTGCCAATGGTGGAGGAGGGAGAACCCGACCCAGAATTCGAGGCGATTCTTGACACGGTTGATCCCAACCGGTAAGAGCGTTCAGGATACCCTTTTTGTTTTTCACCCCAAAGAGCTCTGTGGGCTTTCCTGCAGACGACTCTCACTTGGCTGCTCCAGCGTCTTCTGTCCCTGGTCACCACCAATGCTTTTCTTCTTCTGGCAGGGACGGACACGTCTCCCTGCAAGAGTACATGGCCTTCATGATCAGCCGGGAGACGGAGAACGTGAAGTCCAGCGAGGAAATAGAAAGTGCTTTCCGCGCCCTCAGCTCGGAGGGCAAGCCTTACGTGACCAAGGAAGAACTCTACCAAGTAAGGGCTTGTTCATTTCAACTGCCATGAAAGCTGCTTTGGGTCTGTAACGTCTTAAGTGCCCCACAATTTTCCTTAGGCAGAGTCACAAGCCCACCCTACCAGCAGCAGCTACAAACACAGGTGTTTGCCAGTATAGAACAATATTACCGTTGCACTCCAGGAACTTAGTGTGCTTTCTGCCCCTTTAACAGTAACGTAATTTTACAATTTGCTAGAAACCCCACGTAATGCAGGTAACGTTGTAGCCTACCGCTGGCACAGAGTCTGGAGGGACCCCCCCACAGAAGTTAGGAAAGAAAACCTGGATAAGGAGGAGTTTTTTAAAAAGCTGTAGCAGGAACATGTCCCTCAGCGGAGACCCTACCCATTTCTGATGCTCTCAACTCCGTAACAGTGTTGTTTGGGTGCCTGTGTTCCTTCATCCCGCTTAAGAGGCCTGACGTTTTCTAGCCTTTGAATTAGTCATGCAGGGAGGAAAGAGCAACTGTTGTCTGAATTCAGACTCCTTGCCCCAAAACGCTTCTGTCGCCCTTCGGCCCTTCGGCCCTCCGACCCCCTTTCTGCAGCCCTCACGGTGCCCCTCTCTCTTGCCTTTCAGAATCTGACCCGGGAACAGGCAGACTACTGCATCTCTCACATGAAGCCGTACATGGACAGCAAAGGCCGAGAACTTCCCTCTGCCTACGACTACATTGAATTTACACGTTCCCTCTTTGTGAATTGATAGCCGGCGCTCACCCCCGGAATTCCGAGAATGCGCTCGCGTCTTTGGCCTCTTAGCTTTCTGCATGTCTCCCCTCTTGTGCTTGAAAATAATCCACATTGCCTTCCCAGTGTAACCTTAAAAACGCTTCGCTTAAGCCTCTGTCCGTAGCAAAAGGAACAAAAACATGTCACGGTGTGCTCGAATAAAAGTTACTGGTCCAAATGAACCCCACAAAGATGTATTCGTGTCTCTGGAGCGGATAGTTGAGAAACCCCCATCAGGAAAACGCCGTTCCCTTGCCCAAGCCACCCACTCTCACGGAAGGTTAGTCACAGTGGTGCTTTATTACTTATTTGTAATCATTTCCATCACGCTGTGACACGCTGCTGCCGTGGGGGGATTGGAATAGCTGGCAGCTAGCAAAGGGACCTCCTCACCCCGCCTAAGCATCTGTACGTTAAGAAACACCAATGCATATCAGTCTGTGACCTCGTTTGCTAACTGGTCAAGGTGGCTCATCTCTCGCGGGCCCTCTTCGGTGAAATCTGAACTCAGCTGCCAGACCTTCACTGTTCCGCTGCCATCGCCAGCGGCAAGAAGCTGAGGCTGCCGGGGGTTGAACTCCAAGCAGTAGATGGGGGACTGGTTGGACGTCTGCCTGATTGAAACCGAGGGCTTCTGTGAGCTCTTTGCAAAATCAAACAGCTGCACTTCCCCTGGAAAACAGACCCAAAGTGAAACATGGCGTGTTTCCAATGACGTGCTTCACAGCCCGGCCCCGTAGAGGCCAGTGTGAACCCAGCTCAGCTTTCCCCAAGCCAGGCCTCCCGCCGGCGTGTGAATTTCAGCCTCCTTAGTTGGGACTCTGGGAGGAGAAAGCGGATTAGCGCTGCCAGGAATCCCCGTCTCCTTTCTCCTTCTCCAATAACTCAGTGCTGGTACCAAAATTTAAAATTAGTTGCAGGGTTGCAAAAGAATGAAATTAGGTAAATAGAGTCACTGAAAAGTGGGAATGGTCCCAGCCTGTAGGGTTTCTCTGCTAGTAAGAAAAATTGTGGGTTAAATACCAAAGTCACTAGCCCGCTAGCCTTCAGGTTTACTTGGATGAGGTGAGCCATCTGCCAGCCTGCAGGCAGAACCATGGCCAGACCCACATGTGGCTTCCTTGCTTGGGCAAATCCTACCCCCCTCCCAGTAGCCAAAGCAAACGAACCTTCCCCTGAAGCGGCTCCAAACACCAAGGGCCGTACCGGCGACCACCTCACGCTGAAAATGTATTTCTTCGACAACTGGAGGGAGAGAAGAGGGCGAGCTTGCAGCATAGAGTGTAAATGAACGTGCCCGTCAGTCCCTCCGCTCAAAAACAGATTCCTTGGGGAGAAAAAAAACAAGGAACTTGGGGTAAGGAAATCCAAAACCCCAAGAGAGAGCAGCATTTTCAGCTCGCTGCCATCATTTGCGCTCAACTGGAATTCCATAATGCATAAGGCAGCTCCTTAGTCATTGCTCAGACTCCGCTGAAATATAAGCACACATTAAAAGAACTAAGGTGAAACCGATCGTTTTTGCAGCCCAGAATCATCAGCCTAACGGTCTTTAATCAAGAGAAATCTTGCGCCATGGCTGCGTTTGAGCCAGAAGTTCAAGTCTATGGTTGAAAACAGAATTCTTTCCCCCTCATTCAAAAAGACACCTGTACAAGTAGGTTTAGTTTTGCCCCTTCTGCTGGGAAGGCAGGGCAGAAACCCCAAGCCAGGGCTACCTACCGCTTTAAGCCACCACATGTGGTTGGATTACTACAACACAGTAAACTATAACCCCCAGTTTACAAACCACTATGGGTGCGGCCGCACGTCAGGCGAACCCAAGATCATACGATAATGACGTGTAGTGTGCAAACCTGGTCAGACACAGAAATACACCCAACGCTGTGGTGTGGGTTCCTCCAAATCGTTTAGTGCTCCAGATGCTGCAGCCGCTGGGAGTGCCGGCAGCAGTCAGGGCTTACCTGTGGAAAGGGGAGCAGCTGACACTGTAGATGGGTCCTCCGTGAAGGGAGAAGATGAACTGGGCAGGGGCCCTGAGTGGGACGGAGCTGCCCTTCTGCAAGAGGGCGACCGTTTCCGCCGCGGTCGAGCACTTCATCAAATAGCCGCCCTCCGTGCCGCTGATGAAGACGCTGGGCTCGAAGTGGGAAAAGGAGAGAGACGTCACGCCCACCGCCATGTCTCCTCGATAATGCTGGGGGGGGTCGAGAGGGGAGAAGAGAAAAAGCCGCGCATCACTGCAGCGAAAGCATAACCCTGGAAAAGGCACAAAGGAAGCCAAGAGGGATCTGGCTCTGGACTCTCACATCTCTTCTCCACTTTATCAACTTGAAATGCATACCGTCCCGCAGTGCATGACTGTATCACCCACAACTCCATTCCAGAGCCTCCCACAGGCCTCCTACTGGATCTTGGGGAAGATCAACAGTCCCACAAGACAGAAATCCATGTCTGATAGTGCTCCTGTTTTTGGGGCGAGGGGGAACTCAGTGGAACCTTTCTGCGTAAGAAGCCACCTCTGCAGACATATACCCCGCAAAGCCAAGCGACCAGCAGGGCTTGTCTAGTGCTACAGCATGTCTCCTCCGCTGGTCCCCCTGCCTTGCAGTTCACAACAGAGATCCTCCGCCATATTCGCCCAGTGCTGTTTATACTATGCTGGGCTGTGGAGGTTCTTTCAATCAGGATACTTCTAACCCACCTTCTTGAGCTTTGTGCTCCTGGGAATCTGCTGCTGGACCAAGGCAAAACCGCTGGCAGGGCGGAGAAGGCCGTCTCGCTCTTCCTGCCATACTAGGATCTTCCCGTCTGTGGAGACACTCAGGACACGAAAGGTGTGGGCCTGCCTGGAGTCTCGGAGCCAGCCGACCTGAGGCCCAAAGGAGCGATCAGAGAGGGTCTGACCCCAGGAACTCGCAAGAGACCCGGGGCTACAGCCCCTTCCCACTGTTTCCCTTCGTACCTCGTAAACAGGATCGGTGTGAGTGTCATCGGTCATTCCCGTTCTCCAGATCAAAGGGTCTTCCTGCCTGCTGGTGTCCCATATCAAGACCTCTCCATTGAACAGGCCTCCTGAGAAGATACAAGAAACAATTTGTACGCTGGCAGGAAGTTCGGTGAAAGTGTTTGGCCATTTCTCGGCAGAAAACCCAAGCTACATGCCAGAAGGAAGGTGAGAGGAGGAGGAACAGATTTTATTTCAAAAAAGCCACGAGGCTCTGGGGCAAAGCTGTCAGCACACTGGGCAGAGGCAGCACATGGGGTTAGAGTTGTGGGAATTAATTACCCACTATTTTCCTAATCAAAACCATCCCATCAGGTCCAGGAGAGAAAATGCATGTATGACAGACGTTAAAGATCATCATATTCCCCACATGACACATAGAGTGGCTTGCAGAAATCACCATTTAATTTTCTGGTTAGGCAGGATAACCCAGAAGTGCTTTCCAAACCACGCATGGAACCTGAATTATGCGCAGCTGCTAAGTTCAGTCCAGAAAGCGTGCCTCCAGTCCTCCTCAATCCCTGCGGCTGCCCCAGAGAAAGGCAGAGCTGGAAACAGGAGGTCGAAAGCACAGAAGAGGAGCACTTGCCAGCGATGAGCGAAGGCTGCTGCGGGTGAAAAGCGAGACACATGATGGCGCTGGGGACCTCCACCACAAGGTCTGGCCGGTGGGGATTCAGCGCTCGGCGGTCGAGATTCCAAGTGCAGAGGAAGGATTTTTCGGAGCTCCAGTCTCCGTCATCCAGCCTGGAAGGAAGGAGAGGACAGGTGCGGCTGAAAGATAAGAGGGAGGCTGCCACCGGTTGTGAGAGGACCGCTCGTCTCACCTGCTCACCTGCCATAGGAACAAGCAAGGACGGCCCCCGTGGCATTCCAGGAGACGCCGGTGACCTGCAGGTTGCGCTCCTGGGCTTCTGGGTACGACAGGCTGTGCACACAAGAGACCTGCAAGGAAGCGGGAGGCTGAGGGGAGCCTGGCAGAGGCCCCTGCCGCTTAAGAGGGGACGGGAAAAGCAGGCGGGGGTCAGCCCCCACTAGGCGGGCCAGACCAGGAAATCCGCTCCACTGGAAGGAGACAGGCTCTGATAACAGCGTCTTGCCCATCTGACTGTGCTGGACCCCCTCCCCTTCTTCTACTCATGTGAATCAGGGAGGGGGTCTGCCCAGGCCACTTCCAAACATCATCTCATTTCTGGAAAGCCTGGAAAGGCTTCGGCCCCTTGGCCCAGATCCTGCCTGTCTCCGCCTGACTCCCTGCAGAAGACGAGGGGCCTCCCCAGGATGGGGGAGCCCCCAAGGCCAGCAGCAGGCCGTTCTCCTTCGCAGGACTGTGTGGTGGGAGGGTGGCCCCCCGCTGCAGCAGCAGGGTGGTGATCTTAGTCCGGGCAAAGCGTCCAGAGAGCACGGAAGAGGCGGCCGAGAAGCCTTTACCGTTTCGTTTGGGTCCGCCCAGTTCACTTCGAAGCCGTCGAAAGCGTGGCTCTTCCAGTTCTTGTCCAGCTCCCGGATGACCGGTTCTTCCACCCGCTGCAGGAAGGCGCGCAGCCCGACGTAGTCCACCGGCGACAGGAGGGCCAGGGGCCGGGCCGGGCCAGCCTCGGGGTCCGCCTGGACGCCGACCTCCCGGCTACGGCAGGTCTGGGCCGCCCCTTCGGCCATGGGGACAGGGCCGGTCTGGGTGCTCTTCTGCGGGAAGGAAGACAGCTGGCGGTCAGAAGTCGGGGGTCCTCTGCCTCTGGCTGAATACAAACCCCATCATCCACAGCCCCTAGTGCGGATGGCCATTCCGGCTGGGGAGCAAGGACACAGGACCCATCTCCTCTGGGGCGCGAGAGGCCTCCAACCACTTCCCTGGACGGCCTTTGTGCTAGCACAGCAGCGTGGCCCATCATCCACAGCCAAGGCGAGCCGACGGCAATGGGAAGGGTCGTCTGCGGCATTTGCAGTGCGGAAGGCCGCGATTCCACAGGGAGGCCGCCCGCCCACCAAGCAAGCCTCCCTCCGTGTACCGCCGCGTACTATGAGATTTGTAGTCCCCCCCACAACAGAGAACGGAGGG